CAAGCCGTACCCTTGAACTCCTTCTCTTCCGTTCTAGCAGGTCGATGCACTCCCAAACAGAAGGTCTCGAACGACGATAAATCGGAAAGCGGCAGCTCGAGTGCATGTCGTCCGCGTTTCCCGGCGCAAAAGGGTTGTTATAAGGTGCCGCCGATCTATTGAGGCCTTCACCATAGTGATCGAACGGCCTTGTACGACTGATGAGATTTTTGGACTCGCCGGCGTTTAAGGTTCGGCTGATGAACCCGTAAATGACCTTTTGCGCACCCACAATATTCTTCGCGATTGTGATTTCCTCCTGTACGTGATTGATGCGAGTCTCATACGACCGATCGGATGGCATTGATGTGATCTGTGCTTCCTGTAAAGTGTCAGCCAGTTACGCGACGAGTCCATACACCAACGTACTAAGCCCTGGAGGTACTCCAGATATGTCTCGCTTGCACTTGGATGCTTTCCAGTGACATCAGAGAGCAGCCGAATGCTCATCAACGACACAAGATCCATCGGTAAGACGGTGACCTTGCCGGCAAGTCGAAAGGAGGAAAGGCTGTCAATAGTTTCCGCCATGCCGCTTTGGATGAGAGAGATCGCAAAGCTCAGCTGTTCAGCCCATGAGCTAACACTACCCATGTCAGCGCAGCTATGAATAAGGCTCATGACGATGAGGGGCCAGGCGCGGGTCAAATCTTCAGATACTTGTATCTTGGCACGATCGGACTCCGTAGCTTGCGTCATCAGCTGCTTAAAGGCCAGCATGTTCGGCATGAGATCTTCAAACTTTGATAGAATAAGACCAATATTTGGATGAGGCGAATCACCCGCAGAACGCCTGTCATCCCTGCCGTGGCGGTTCCTTTCTGAAGCCTGGGGCTTACCACTATGTTAGCTGGGAATCCGAGGGGCAGAAAGTACCTACAAAACAAAGGTGGGCGATGGACCCCCAGTATTTGAGTATTGTGGTATCCTCAGTTCGCTTCGGAAAGAAGAAATTATACACAATGTCTGCTGTGTTGAACAACCCGATAGCGCTCTGTCGATATCTGCCAGGTCTACGACTACTACTGCCCCCATCAAAAGCTTGTCGGGTTGAGGCTTCGACGCGGGTATGGGCGGCTGCGCGGTCCATTGTGCTAGCAGCTCGGAAAGCCTTGCTTCCGGCGGCATTGGAATCTCCGCTGAGAAGGCTGGACACTTGTTCAAGGCGCCACTGGATATTTTCGAGATTTGGGTAATCAGCTGCGCTCGAAGACTTCGTTTTGATCCAGCTGAAGACGTGAAAAATCTCGTTGGGGTTTCGTGAAGGTATCTCTGTCGGTTTGTCTTCCTTGTCGAACTCTGTGGTGGCCTCCTCGCGCTTTTTTCGTGGTGAAGGCTGAATATTGCTTTCCTCTGGAAGTTTGGTATCCTTAAAGGCCGGAATACGTCCGGGTGCCCGGTGTAAGTCGTGGAGGCGTAAGGAAGGCGTGAACGGCGGCGCAAACCTGTCGAAGTCAACATCGATGATCAGAAGATATTCATCTTATCACGACTTACTTAGTTTTCATGGTGAGCGTAATGCTGCTCCGCCCTCGCTGGAGAAGCTTGAAGATATCGCGCCATGTATCCTTGGACACCATGTGTTGGTCGTAATAGAATTCCAATACCGCAGGCCACAGTTCGTGAAAGTGGGCAGCAAAGGCAAGGAACGTCTTGCATTCCTCAGCAGGTATGGACCATGACAACGAGCCTCCATACCTAACCAGGATGCGGGCACCCTTGACACCTTTGGAGTGCGGCGGCCGCGGAATCTCTTCCTGGATGGATATGGCCTTATCACGCAGCGTGAGCTCATCCATCAGCCCGCACGTCACAAGTACAGAATCGCCTATGACCAAGCACCAGAGTTGCGGGATGTGAAAGCACCAACCCCTGTCTCTGCTGTTGATATGGCGGGCCGCTTGCTGCATGTCGCGTTTGTATGCGATGCGAGCGTACGACGCCTGTAGGAGAGTCTGTGTGGGATACGAGCCTGGATTCGTGGAGGCAGAGAAGCCAGAGTACCGTTCAAGGGAGAAGTATGGGATGCAGAGCCAGGTGACTGGCGTCGGCGTGGTATGATTATCGGGGCTGTCTTTGGACGGCGGAATGTCGAGTTGTCGAACACCAGGGTCCATGTGTCTCACGGTAGTATCCTTGGAAACTCGAATGGGCCTTGACGAGTTCTTCTTGACGTCAGACAGCAGCCGCGAGATGGCCTTGCGTTGAGGCGTTGTCAGGAAAGGAAGTGCTTGGATATCAGCCTGAGGAAACAATTAGAAGACTTGAGAAACGAGAGCATGTTCTAGAGGAAATTTACCGCTAGAGAGTCAAAGTTCATGATATCCTGTTTCACATGGCTGAAGCTGGTCAGTCAACGAGGAAGACGTGTTTATCCGGAATACGCACAGCCAACGGAAAAGAGACAACGACTGTCCTTCGGGATCGGAACGGGAGGTCAAAGAGATGGAATGATTTCCTTCAAGGTGCCCATCCCCTGTGTAATCTGACCGGAAGACGTGGACGGCCTTGTGGGGTCGACTCGTAGACGCTCGCTTGTCCTTTGGCAAGATGGTGCTGGAAGCATCCAAGCTGAGGTCGGCTGGAGCTTCAGGCGAGCTGTCGAACTTGAAGCTGGCGACTCTGGCCATCAAAGTGTCAGGTGGCTGGGAGTACGAGTCTCGCCTTACAGTTCGTCTGCGTCCGATCCGGAAAGCAGGTTCATCTTCACTGCCATATCCTCTGCGTTCTCTAGTTCTCTCGATGATAGGAGGGGGACTTGGAGACGAGTATCTGTCGACATGGCCATATCCATGAGTAAACCTCGGTTTCAATTCACTCATATCATAGCGGCGAGACCTGCGACGACCTGGTGGACTGTAGCTTCTATCATCGCGGGGGCCGTACGTCCTTTCTCGGGAGCAAGCGGGCTCGGCGCAGTTGTCCTCATAACGGATGGCTGTAGGAGCGGTGTGACGGATCACATAGTCGAGCTCGCGAGGTCGCCGTAAGGGGCGGTCATCTATGATCTCGTATTGCATGATGTCGGAAGATGCTTGAAGTAGCACTAGCGAGTGATGGTCGTTGCCTAGAGACCCGCAAGCTCGAATCGTGCTGCTGATTGGCTGGCTGAGTTTGCTATCAGGGTGACGAAGAGGCAGGAAGTCGCTCCTGGGCTGTGATGATCGTGATTGCCAGAAAGTGCTCAATGTCAAATGTGCTGATGAGGCGGCCCGTGAGAATGAAAATTCAACCTCATGGAGACCAAAGTTTTAAACAGATGAGGAGAAGACCGTCAGCTCAGCCGCATGACCACAGCCGAATCCATCACCATGCAGGAGCAATCTCCAAAGATACAGGGGGTCATCGTTGCACAGCTCATGCATGTAGGCCCGTGCTCGGGCTGACAGCTCTCGCTGACAAGACCACGCCAGTCGATCCAGCCTTGACCCTTATAAAACCACACGCCAGCAATTAGATGATCTCCGCGGATTACGACGAAGTCAATTCACGTGCTGCATCTAATGAAGTCTATCGCAAGTATGATGTGTTTTCTCGCTCTGGTAAGAAAAATGCAAAGGCCTGGGCGACAGCTGAGATGTGATTACTGCCTGATCAAGATTACAAGGGCTAATAAGTGCCACTGATCTAGAGTACAAGGAAAAGTTCGACAAGTGAGACATGGAAAGCCATAGAAGTCATAGAAGTCGAAGCGCTGTGCGGCATTACTCGCTAACTTCCATGCGTCCAAATCTGCGGTACTGTTGAAGGCAGCCAGGGCAAGGAAATGTACCTGGCGATTGCCGTCGCGGCCAAAACTGCTCAGCGGTAGCATTTAACAAGGAACATGGAGCTTGCAATGTCCCCTTCCCAGCAAGCAAAGGTAGGGGAAACTAGCATTGAAACTTTTTCGAAAATCTGCTGTGGCGTGAAACGTGCCTGGGTCCTTTTGAATCCGATCTGCTTCTGCCAGAATCGGGAGAGTATTTGCGGGTGAAATCCAAATCAAACGGTTGGGCCGAACTTCTTGTTTCGAGAGCGAGTGGCCCCGGAAACGATTGACCCTTGGGCCCCGAGGGTGCTTTAATGGAATCGAGCGTAGACAGCCACGATTTGGTCAACTCCGGCGTCAAGAGATCGGCAAGCCAAAGGTGTACATCGTGACCATAAACCGCGTCGCCGGCAACGAGGGTGCGAATTGATGGCACCCAGAACATAGTCTCGTCCACAGTGTCGCCGGTCAAGGGGCTAAGAAGGTGGATAGGGGACGCCTCATCCCCTGGCAGAGTGAAGAATGTAAAGTCGTACGGCGAAGGAATTGCGACCTCTTTCACGATGTTGTCGGCTCCAAAAGCTGTGCCTACTGCCTGAACCTACATCCACGGATGAGTCACAGCTTTCAGGGCCATCGCATTCATGGAAGTGCGCTCACCTTGCTTGCAGCCTCCACACGAATCTGTGCCGCCGCTTTGGAATTTGCGTAGTACTTGGTATTGGGAAAGCTTTTGAGAAACTCGGCACCGCTGAGGTAATGGTCGGGATGAAAGTGCGTGGTGAAGGCAGCAACAAGAGGCTTGTCTGTAGTATTCTTGACCCAGGCGGCGAGCTCTACAGCTTGAGGAATAGCCATAGGCATGTCGATCACGACAGCCGCTTGAGAGCCAATAATGAGCGACGAGACCATATCGAGAGACAAGCCGCTGTTGATGTGGGTCTCTACACGGATTTTGGAGGAGCAGGCGCCACGAACCATGGCAGCTGTGGTGGCTAGCAGGCCCAGAGTAGAGAGTTTGGGGATCATAATATTTGAAATCTTACCGATCTTGGTAGAGCAAGTAAAGTATGAGATTGCTGCCCAAAGAAGGCGATTTCTTCGGTCGAGTGACAATTTTTCACGTTTTGTGTACATCAACTCAAGGTCGACCATTCGTTCACCTTATGGAACCTTTTATACCCTATTCTTGCTTGATCTACCTTGGGCCAGTACGTATGACCTGTGTGCTATGTGCTTTAAATGCCGTGTCACGCTCTGAAAGAGTCAGTTCACTCTGTCAACCAAATGGCTTACAAACATCCCGTCGGAGAGATACGCCAGGTGCATTTGTTGGCCGCCATGTAGCTCGTTGATTTTCGAGTCAGTCAACTGCCGTAACCGCAGGCCGGCCGGCCGGTGGGGCCGGTTTACTTCGACATTAGCAAAGAATATGAAACGGAAGCAAATTGAGTCCGATGTGGCTCTGGCACGTCGCCAAGATGTCTTCGTCGCCAATCCACGGTAGTCATCAGGCTTTGGAGTGGGACATGATTCTGCGTCCTCGTCTGCCGTTCGGTCGGCGAAGTATTCTGCCGGCACCGAGGATAGCAATTTGTAATTCGGCGGCAGGCGGTTGTACCGGCAATGCCTACACTTGCGTTTTATGATGAAGGAAACTGGGAAATCCTAACAAAACAAGCGGTATGGTGACCATCAATCAAGCTATGAATGTGTGCAACGTAGGCCCTGCGCTCAGGATTGAATTCATCGAACTGCGGCCATGGCGCGTATTATCTCGCCGAGATGAAAGGCTACACTCGCTGTTGACGATCTCCTCCTGCACAGTCCCGAGCTGGGGTACTGGTACTCATTGTCTTCGAAGGTAGTCAAGCTGCGGTGTCTTGGTGTGGGTTTGCTGATGCCACCCACGCCCCACATGCTTGTATATTCAGTGTTCGTGCAAAAAATGACCGATCACTTGGTTTCGAGATGATTGTCATGTACCTGCATCCGCGATTTTGCCTTGGTTATGCGCCGAGACCTACTCAGCCCATAGACTGTATATCCAACTGTACGTATGTACACTTAGCTAAATGTTTACGTGTGGTACGCAATTGAGGGTGATGGTATCGTATAGCCAAGCTTGTCTTCTTTTTGTTGGAGAGGGTCAAGTGCGGAAAGGTGTATGTGCACCATATTCCGTAAATATTCTACAGGGTAGAAGGGTGTCTGAAGCTATCGTAGCCATGGGCATCATTGTGCCGCACATTCACGGTGTCGAGGACGCCCGACGCGTTATCGACGTTGCAAAGTCCCCACTCGTCGGCCATCGCTCCATCAGCGCCGGTTTCCCGCAGTTCGAGTACGCGCCTCTCCCTGCGCACATCATCCAATCGGAGATGAACGCTACTGGGTCGGTGGTCTTCATCATGATTGAGACCGCTGATGCGCTTGAGGCTGTGGAAGACATTGCTGCTCTGCCGGGATGCGATGTGTTACTTGTCGCAAATGACTTGGCCTGCGAGATTGGAACCTTGCCTGACTGGGAACAAGGATTTTATTGGAGCCTTGAGACGCGTCAGTGCGGCAGCAAAGGCTCACGGCAAGATGATGGGCATCGCCGGACTTTACCATCGTCCAGATATTCTGACCCAGGTGATCAATGAGTTTGGGGCTAGGTGGATTGTGGGTGCTCAGGATGTCGGTCTTCTGACGGCAGGGGGGGAGACAGAACTCGGATCTGTTAAGGACACTGCAGGCTTAAACAGAAAGATGGCGGAGAAGAAGTTCACGAAATCACTACTTTCCAGACACACAATGCACATTGAGTGTGATATTAGGCCCACAAGACGCACCAGAACATTACCTTGTCTGAATCCATCATCATAGCTCAACTCTCACAACTTGTCGGGTCTCAAGCCACGGTCAGGGCAATCAATCAAACGCCCAGATACGGGAATACCATAGGCTTCCCACTCTCCATGTTGGCTTTGAGGTGGATGACCAGCATCTCCCCCATTCCAAACTCCCCTGCGGCTTGGAGCCATTCAGATGGCTCGACCGTCTCAAATTCGCCCCCATATACCTCACTCAGCCGCTTTGCCAGCTCACTGAATGGCACGCGCACATCGCCACTATGATGGCGGTAGCAAACAGCCCCTGTGGCTGCCGGGGCCTCGCCCTCTATCTCAGATGCAACAGCCACGACGTCTTTAAAGTCGAAGAAACCCTGTGCTCCAGGCACGTTTGGCACCTTGCGCGTTAGCACAGAAAAACGCACCACCGAGTTCATAACGTCGTCGGCTGGCGCCCGCTCTCCGATTAGAGCGCAGTGCCTGTGCACCACAACAGGAAGGTCCCTCTCCTGGGCAATCTTTTCGAGGAAGCATTCGCTGGCCCACTTTGAAGCTGTGACGCCCTGGGAGCCATCTGTCGGCGGAAGATGTGCAGCCATCGAGACTGGCTTTGCCTCGTGCTGGCCGGACAGGAGAACCACGCGAGGCGCCGAAATGAAGTGGAAAGGCACCTGACGCGGAAGAGCAAGCCTGACCAGCGTCTGTGTTGAAATATACAGCGCATCTTTGACCGACGTGTAGTTGTTCATGCAGTGGCCCTGGACTGCTGCGTGTATGATCTGGTCGATGGCGGTTCTGAGGAGTGCCCTCTCCGTGCCAGAGAGGCCCAGCGTCGGACTCATCAAGCTGCCAGCGTAGATGATCATCCTGCCACTGCCATCATCCTGAGACGAAAGCTTTTCCCGTTCGTCGTCAGAAACCGCAACACAGTGAATTTTCGCCACGTCGTCATTCTTCAACAACTGTGTAAGAATCTCGCTACCCAGAAATGACCCCGCGCCGGTGAGAAGCACCTGGCGGTCATGGCTCTTGGGTGGTGGAGATGACGGCTGCCCCTTCGCATTTTCTAGAACGCTGTCAGGAATCGCCGTTTCCAACTTCCAGTCGATGGTCTCCTCAGTCAATTGACCGCGTTCTTGATGCATTGCTGCCGCCATCTTCCTCAGAGTCGTAGCCTGGTAGAGGTCCTGCAGCGGTAGAAGGACACCCATTCTCTCCCTCAAAATATTCTGTAGTCGCACAAGGAGGAGGGAGCTGCCACCGACTGTGAAGAAGTCCGAGTGCGGTCCGATGGCGGCCGCACCCGCTGCTTCGCCAAGGACAGTCTGCCAAAGTGCTCGTAGCTCTCCTTCAGGAACCGTCAGGGCTGTTTTGTCGTTCTTCCATGTTTTCTGATCAGGGAGCGGAAGAGTGCTGAGAGTTGCTCTGTCGATTTTGCCGTTTGTCGATGTAGGCAAGTGGTCCAGGGGAACGATCATCGAAGGGACCATGTAGCGCGGCAACGCAAGATCGCGAAGGAGCAGCTCCAGTTGCTCATGATCAATACTCCTTCCTTGCGCGTATACGACGTATGCCACAAGGAATTGAGGCTCTCCACGAGCCATCACAATCGCATCAGCTATGCAGTCTTTGGGGGCCGCCGCCAAGATTGCCCCTGCAACCTCGTCCAGGTCGATTCGGAGGCCTCGAAGCTTGATCAATGTATTGCCACCATTGATGCGGCCCAGGAATGCGAGAGAGCCATCCGCTAGGAGATAACCCTTATCGCCAGTGTGGTACATAACATCTTGCCCTTGGGCCCGGTCGTCAGGTGTTGCGAACGGATTTGGTACAAACTTGTCCTGGCTGAGCCTAGAATCAAGATATCCTCGGGCAACGCCGCTACCGCCGATACAAATTTCACCCGGCATACCGAAAGGCAGAGCTGTCTTGCCATCTTCACTGAGAATATAGATCGATGTGTTGGAGATGGCTTTCCCGACGATTTTGCTCGCAGGGCTATCTTCTAAGCCGTTACGTTCATCAGTGCTGTCCGCACCGCCGGTACCCAACTGGATCGTTCGGAATGTGACGGCGCACGAAACTTCCGTCGGGCCATAGCAGTCCATGAAATTTAGCTCAGGGAGCTCTAGTCGTCGTACAGAGTTGACAAGTCTGACGGAGACAACTTCGCCACCTGAGCACGCAAAGCGCCACGATGTGCACCTTTGCAGAGTATCAGCGGCATAGGCAGTAAGCATGAGATATTCCGAGGGGGTAGCCAAAGTGAATTCGATGGCCTCATCCAGCATGATTTTTGAAATCATGGTCGGATCGCCACGGGCTTCTGTAGGGGCAATCACAAGAGTACCTCCATTGGCAAAAGCATTGAACGCTTGGGCAATCGCCATATCGAAGCCACATGATGTCTGCTGCAGTACACGCACTTGGCCTAGGCCGAGCACGGCGCTCTTTGACGCAGCGTAGTTCATGATGCCTCGTTGGCCCAGACGAATTCCCTTTGGCGTGCCTGTGGAGCCGCTGGTAAATAGAAGGAAGCTTTCCTGTGTGGCAGACGTAGAAGCGAGCGGAGGTGGGTTATCACTTCTGGGAGTATGTTCCTGCAACTCGGACAAGTCAAGTGTGCGAGTTCTGCCACCACGGGAGCATTCCTTGGCGGCCTCGTCCGTTTCCGCATGGAAAACTAACACGTCTGGCTTACAGGCGTCCATCATGCTACGGAGCCTCGCAATTGGAAGATTGACGTCGAGTGGCACATATACGGCCCCAATGTGAAGAGCCGCAAGCATTGTAGCATAGATGTCGATACTTGGCACACACAAAACTGCCACACGCGAGCCGGGCCCAGCCCCAGCGTTGACAAGAGAAGAAGCGTAAAGGCCAACGCGACTGGTCAAGAGGTTGTACGTCAGGGACTCGTTGTCGTCTTTGATGGCGATAGAGTTGGGAAACAAAGAAACAACATCCTGGAACCTCTCCGACAGCGTCTTGGGCCAAGTATGTTTAATTGTCGGTCCTCGTCCGAGAGTGACAGCGCCTTCGACCTGCTCGTTGTTGAACAGCTTACAGTCTCTTACTTTGATGAATTGGTCCTTAGCCAGAGATTCAACTAAGCCAACGAATGTTTCGGTTATGAACTCTGTAGCGGCTATTGAGTACAAGCGCCCGTTGGTAATGCACTCGACAAGATGGCCTTGCGACCCTGCCTGGGTGACGTTGATGACCAAGTCGTACGGTGTCTTGATGTCGACATACTGTTCCATGGACAAAGCACAGTCGCCAATTGACCGTTGCAATATGTCGCCGACACGGTAGTTGAAGGCGACTTGGAAGAGAGGTGTGTACGCTGGGGATCGCTCAATTCCTAGCTTTTCGAGGAGCAGATCGAATGGAACTTGCGAGTTGTCGAATGCTTGTAGCACAGAGTGCGAGGTTTGGTTTACCAATTCCTTGAATGACTGGACAGAATCAATTTTGAATCGAACCGGGAGAATGTTGGCAAAGTGGCCGATTGAATCAGAAAAGTCTGTTGTATGACTTCGGCCGCTGTCCGCAATGCCGATGCATAGATCGTCAACATTACCGAGACGAGCTATTAAAACTTGCATGACAGCCAAGTAAAATTGCATCGATGTGGCGCCGCAGGCTTGGCTAGCTGTTTTGACTTTTTTGACCATGGCGACCTCAACCTTTCGCTCGACGATGTGGTTCTGATGTGCTCGGCTTGCTTTCCGCGAACTTGCTTGAGCGATCGGCAGCAAGGGCAGAGTATCCGGTATCGGATCGAGATGCTGTCTCCAGTACCTGATAGAGGCATCAAGGCGATGGGCTTCGATGTCTTCGTGTTGTCGGCAACTGAAATCCAAGTACGAGCCCGTGCTGGCTGCCAGAGGTCGCATCTGGTAAGCTCGATCGAGGTCGCGGAGGAAGATGCTAAAGCTGAGGGCATCGCTCGCCATGAGGTGGAAGCCAAAGATGAGAGTATGCTTCTCGGGTCCGTGGGTTACCAGAACAGCCCGGAATGTCTCACCCGATGCGAGCTGATATTCCGTATTTGCAACGTCTTTGAAGGCCTCTTGGGCATGGCCGGCCGCCTGTTCCGTGGTTGAAGCAATGTGCCTCAATCTGCGTAACTTGGCGTCACTCGTAACGTTCTGCTTAACCTGTGCGCTACCTGAGCTGGCGAAGAAGCATGTCTGGTAGGCCTCATGGTGGCCTAGTGTCTTCTCGATAGCGTCCGCTAGCCTGGCCGTATTCAATCGCCCTCTGACAGAATAGCGCGTTGTGACATTGAAAGAGCTGGAATCTTTCAAGAAAGTGTGTAAGAAATGGATTCCTGCTTGTGCGAAAGACAACCGTTCACTGCGCTTAAAAGCCATCCTCTCTGGATTTGGCCACTCTGAGTTGTTGGTTCCAACGAGCGGGGATGAAGGCGAAGACGGCGGGATATCAGGGTCCACCTCACGGACTTCACCAAAAGCGCCGGAATCAATTGAAAGAGTCTCGTCGGCCGACGACATCGGAGTACCTGGGGATGCTGACGGGACTTCCCAATCGCTATCCCTGGACTCCTCTGGTGAAAACTCAAGTGCCGATGCCCTGGATGCTCCAACATCGACATCGCTTTTCCCCTGTGGCTCAGGAATATTCAGATCAGGGATGCTCGATCCTTCCTTTATCTCTTTGGGTGCCTCCACTTGGTTGACGGAATCCCCTTGGGTTTCCATGAAGCTCTGGGCTATGTGATCGCAAAGCGATGACAGCGGCTCACGGCCAAGAATCTTAAGCAGCGGGATGTTGACCTTGAGATCTTCAAGTAACCACTTTCGGATGTCGATACCGTGTAGAGAGTCAAGCCCTAGATCTGCCAACGGTGAACTAGCATCAATAGAATCCCTTGGCACTTTGATCATCAGTTCGATCTTCTTGAACATGAGTTCGCGGACGCCTTGCGTTATTTCTGTAATATTACCGGCCCGGTTGAGACTGCTGCGCAGGTGATGCAACGTGTTGGATGTTGATGCTTGGGGTGACCCATGGCTCGCCGCACTGGTAGATATTGGCGCGTGAATCATATGAGAAAAGAAGGCTTTCTCAACCCATGGCGGACGAGCGACCGCTGTCCCATCATCTATATAGGGCGGCATTCCCATGATGACTTCTCCAGAGGCAGATCCTGGTCGGCCTGATATGATGCCTTGAAGCACAAGATGATGCAGCTCCGCTTCCGACAGGGGGGTCAAGAGTAGGGAACGGAGCGTGCCCTCAATGTTGGTACCATCAGCACGGTCCATTCGGGCAACGTAGCCTACATCAACAAGCAGACCGAAGTTGAGGATAGAGGCCGCCTGGCCCCGCCGTCTGCGCTTTTCCACCAAGCTTGACATGAACATATTGCCGGCGTGGTACATGGCCTGGCCCGGATTTCCGCACACGGTTGCCAGAGAGCCGAATGTCAGGAAAAATTCGAGATTGTCCGAGGCAAACGCTTCATCAAGGTGGAGCGAGCCATCGACTTTGGGTTTGAGCTGTCTCGTGACATTGTCTGCCGAGAAGTTGACAAATATGCCAGCTTCAAAAACCAAAGCAGCGTTAGCAACGCCCCCGATCGTAGGCATGGTCCTCCGAAGCATGGAAACCGTCTTGTGCACCTGTGCTCGGTCCGTCACATCCATTTTGACAATGCGGACGTTGGTTCCAGATGACCGCAGTTCCTTGAGCCAATGTGGATCTTGGGCCGGATTACGACTGGCAAGGACAATGTGGCGAGCACCACCACGGATCATAAAGCGACAAAGTGACTGGCCAAGCTCTCCAGCCATTCCAACAAGGAAGTATGTCTTGTCAGTGGAGAAGAGGCTACTTGCTTCGAGGGGTCGGACGACTGCGCTGACTGGCCCATGGCGCTCCCAATCCAATATGAGGGACAGACGGTCCCGGTCGGCCAGAAGCTGACGGGGAGCTTCAGCAATGTTAACAACCATCTTGGCGGATGGTTGGCTGGCTTCTTCTCTGGCTAATGAACGGTACGTGTCATGCGCTTTGCCCAGTGCAGCAGCGACCTCCTTGCTGGGTTCATGAAGAAGACCGCTAGGGTCAAAGGTCTGAATGACGCAAGACAGGGGGAGGAAGGGCACATTCGTCTCGAGATTGTCCTTTGACATGTTGATGACCAGTGATGTATCCTTAGGGATCTGTCTTTGAGCGACGCGAGCAGAGGCACGAGGATGCAATACGATCCAGTTTTCTCGCTTCCTTTCGTCAACCGAGTCGACAGCAACGAACAGGATGTTGTGCCCTGTTCCAGCTGCTACAGCGGAGATGGCGTGGGCCATGTCCACTGTAGCCCCGAAGACAAGGGTCGTACCGTGCTGAGGGACGCTGCGGACCACTTGCAAAGCAATCAGGGCAAATGCCGTGCCCACCAGGCTTTCAGCATTGATAGCTTGCACGTCGCAGCACTCTAGAAGGCTTTCTGTGGGGGCAACGACCGTTGAAGAATCGATTGCAGACAGTACGAGAACCTCGCCCACATATGCTAGCTGACCAGAGCTTTGTACACGACCGAAACAAAGGAAGCATGGTTTTTCGGCTCCAGTGTGCAAAGCCAACGACAACTTGACATCGACTGCTGTATGATTTTCAGGCACCGAAAGGCTGTCGCCAGTGACCAGCTGGGGTTGTTGCGAGGCGATGTTACTAGAGTCGATGGTGATCCTCTCCGTTGTGACAGTTTTGCTCATTTTCCGACGCTTGGCGTTAAGGGTCTCGTTGGCGGCGTGATCGGGCACAATACGAGGCACAAGTATCTCACTGCCTTTGACCAGGACCTCTGGCTCTTCGCTCCAGAGCATTTCTTGCGTAGCTGTAGACGACGCCAATGTGAACGCCATTCGAAGAACGTGGCGCACAAGAACGTCAGAGTTCCACGCCTCAGGGCAATCAAAATCGAGATAATGCATGTTTACGTGCGGCAATTCCACAGCGAGAGCACGGCCAATGCCTACCATCATGTTGGCGTAGGGGTCATCGACCATGCGCCCGCAAGTAACCCACAACATGTTGTGTGCGACACCCAGCATTCCCTGCAGCCTGTCAAGCCTTTCAGGCGTCGGCGGTTCGGCGAAAAAGGGGTTGTCCAGATCTGAAAGACACAAGATAAACGTTCCTGGAAGCATACTGGACAAATCCAGACCGTCGATGGTGCTGCAGGTTCTAACCTCTGGCGACCAGAGACTCAAAATCTTGGCTGTCCGGCGAGCTAGCTTGGAAACGGCCAACGACTTGCCTCCCAAGATGAGCACAGGGCATTTTGGGATCAGGGACATGGAAGAGAGAGGCTCTCGCAAGACTTCGACTCGTTCATCGACTGCCTGAGTCGCAAAAACTGAGCAGCTGTGTCGAGCGGTATCCGGATGATCATGGGTGATACAATCAACGCCAGAGAACCCGTTCTCCTCAAGAATGCTATCCCATTCGCGAGGATCAATGCCAGGGCCCATTTTTCTTCCTTCACCTGTGCCGAGCCACCAGCCCTCTAAGCCGCCCATAAGGCCGGTTTCACGGATCATGCCGCCTGTAACCTCGATAGCAATGAGATGGCCACCAGGTCGCAAGAGAGCTCTGGCATTTCTCACCGTCTCGGACAGCTTTCGTGTTGCATGGAGTACATTGGCCGCGATGACGATGTCGTAGCTGCCCTCGGCAAACCCTTGGGCCCCTGGTGGCCTTTCCGCGTCAAAGACTTTAAAGTTGACCTTTGACGTGTGTGCCTCGGGCAGTTTCTCCGACAGACCGTTGAAAAAACTTGCTGAGATGTCTGTGCATGTATAAGAGGTGTATGCTTCACCTATGGCGCTCAAAATGCCGAGAGTTGTGCCACCTGTACCGGCGCCAATCTCGAGTATCCTCATTCGGGGGTGCTTGTGACTGATTCGACGCATCAGGTTGGCAACTTGCTGATTACATGCTGCTAGCCCGCGGCTGTCTTTATAAAGCCGACTGAGCAGGTCGTTGTTCAACATGTGCTCCATCATCCCAGACTCTTTCCGGACCACGGATGGCAGGTTTTCACCCACTGCGACCAGCATCTCTATGTCGACGCTCTCTGGATGCTCATCGATAAGCTTCAGGATGGTCTCACGGTCGTCATCCAACCACTCTTCACGCAGGATCGCATGCTTTTTGTCCCGGATTGTGGACACCGTGGTGTGTATGTAGCGGAACAACTCTTGATGGTACCACGTTGCAGACTCCAGGTCCTTTGCAGAGAGCTTGCGAATGAGGTTTTGCATGTAGAACAGAGTGATTCGCTCACACGCGTCTATCACAGATGGGGGATCAGCCTCATCAGCTGGAGTTGGCGATGTGACAGCAAGGCCGTAGGCACTGTCAGCATCCCAGATAGTCTTGACAAACAAGTTGCGGTCTTCAGACGGCTGTGGTTCAGCGATCGCTTTGAGTATCAGGCCATCGATCTGAATGCCGCAGCTCTGGGTTTCGTTTGTTTTCTTAGCACATAAACTGATGTCAACCTCAACAATGGCAGCATTTGCAGTCACCATCATGGCCTCGATCTCGATGTTCGTTGAGCCGGGCTCATCCTCGTAGTTCTGATTGGGATTGATGAAGGCTCGTCGAATTCCAACTGGGAGCAAGGGGCTTCCCATTGACTTCTCTGCGGTGGAAAGAACGGTCCCCAGTCCTACCTGGAAAGCGACGTCAAGAGTAGCAGGGTGTAGTGAGCAACAATGCGATATCATCGCTGGACAGGAGCAGATGCCTTGGCATGACCCAAGATCTGCTGATGGAGTGCAATGTACGAAACGCTCCAGCGTAGCCAAGGTCGATCTCAGAAACAGCTCGATAGAATCTGTCGGTATCCATAGGTGTAAGTTCAGTCCGAGATATAGGATTGGCAAGTAAATCTCCCGATTCAGTACCACCAAGATGGACGAATAAACGGGCATCGCACGTTTTGTCCAAGACGCGTCCATCCGAGCAGCTGTAAGCAACGAACTCGGCTTCTAAGCTTGAGCCGTCTGATACCGTTGTGTGAAGCGTCTTGCTGCGCATCGTAAAGACGACTTCAACTCCTTCATCCTCACCGATGACCAGTGCTTTGGGTATGTTCATATCTCTGACCTCAAGCAGCTTGATGGGGCGGCCCTGGACAAAGGCTTTTGACGCCTCTAAAGCGATACTAAAATAGCCAGCTCCAGGAAAGAGAACTTGGCCCTGGAACGTGTGGCCCGTGACCCACAGCATCTCTTTCAAGTGAAAGAAGTTTCGCCACGTCTTCTCGTATGGAGTGTCTTCGCGCTGACGGCCGAGCAAAGTGTGTGGCAGCTGGCCACCCACACGCATGTTATGTGAGAGACGGGATTCTAGCCAGTACACTTGGTCATGGTCCCACGCATACGTGGGCAAGCCTTTGAGAGGGATCCGTTGCCTGGGTAAATTGAAGCTCTCTCGCCAAGCGCCAAAGTCGATGGCAGAGGGACCCAGGTAGCTCCAGATCGTTCCGAGGGCCGATGACATACTCTCAATGCCTCCTTTCTCGCGCTCCAAGCAGCCAACGTACGGAACAGGAGGAATTGACAATGATTTGATAGTTTGGCTCACTGGACCCTTCAAAGCAGGATGTGGTCCAACTTCGAGAGCGATCGCAAAGCGTGCCGGAAGGCTCTGGATCGCAAACTGCACAGCCTCGGAGAACAGCACTGGCTGAACCATGTTATCAACCCAGTACTGGTCCTCCAGACCTTTCTGATGAACATGATGGGTGACCATGTCAGTGCTGTTCCGCACACTGGAGAACCATACGCATGCGTTATCCTCAGCTGGCTTGCGGATTTGCACCTTGAGCTGCTGAAGAAGGCTCAGGTATGCCTCAGTACACTCAAGCATGTGATGCGAGTGGTAGGCTGTATCGACTCTGAGCTGCCTAGCCTGGATCTTCTTTGCTGTCAAGACACCCTTGATCTCTTCGATGGCGTCCAAGTCACCAGACAGAGTGACGCTGGAGGGCGCATTGCCCGCTGCCACACTGACCCGTCCCTTGAATCGGGGCTCTGAGCAAAGAGACTTGGCATCTTGAAAAGTCAAGGCTGCCGCCATCATACCTCCTGCTTTCCCGCCCAGCCCCTTTGCCAGGTGGGCCACTTGACCGCGGTAGTACGCGATACCCATGGCATGCCTTCCGCTCAAAAGGCCAGCGGCATACGCAGCACCGATCTCGCCAGAGGAGTGGCCAACAACGGCAGCGAACTCAATGCCGACCGTTTTCAGGAGGTCGACAAGGGCAATTTGAAGGGCCGTGCAAAGAGGTTGGGAGATGACGGCCTCAGAGAGACGCGAAACCTTCTCTTCCGCAATCAACTCCTCCATCAATGACCAAGTAGGACCTTCGGGAAGTGACTTCAAGTCGGCCTCGCATTTTTGAATGGACTGGCGGAAGATTGTGCAGTATTTTACCAATTGTCGGCCCATCTGGGCAGCTTGAGCACCCTATAATAGCCAATACACGTTAAATTAGTCACCTAGGTATAGCAGCTCAAAGTCTGATTAACTGACCTGTCCAGTGAAGATGCCGAGGATCCCTGGGTGCTTGGTCGCACCCGACTCATTCAAGGCCCTGACGCCAAACGACTCACTGGTTTGTACGCTAGATGCGAGCTTGGCATGTTCCTCTAAGCTTTCTAGTAGCTTCTGGCGACTTGCCATTGCCGGAACTACTATTCTGTATGTCAAGGCGCTTCGGTTCGAATGCAGCACGCTGCTCAAGGCATCTAAATCCAGCGCCGGATTGATCCGCAGATGGTCTAGGGTTTGTCGAAGTGACTGGGAAAGTGACGTGCGACTCCTGGCTGAGAACACAAACGGACCGATGAGTCCGAAACCATCAATTTCTTGCCTGGCGACCGATTTGACAGCTGCCGTTTGTTTGGAGGATGGAAGAGTCTCCGCAGGAGTAACGTAGCTTTCGATAATAGTGTGGGCATTTGTGCCGCCAAAGCCAAAGCTGTTGACGCTGGCGCGACGAGGTTGACCATGGGTATCTGGCCACGTCAGGGGCGACGTAGGCACACAGAGATTCGTGTAAAAAGGTTTGACGGACGGGTTGAGCTCATTGAAATGCATGTTGGGCGGGATAACGCCGTGTTGGACTGCAAGGGATGCCCGAAGAAGGCCGGCTAACCCAGCGCAGCCTTCGAGGTGACCCACGATAGTCTTAATCGAGCCACAGTACAGTGGGATTGGATCAGCCTTTGCGGTATCTTTCTGGTCAAGCGTAGTTGAAGGAAAGAATGCGCTGCTGATAGCACGAGCCTCGACTGGGTCACCGGCTTGGGTGCCAGTGCCGTGACACTCAAAGTACTGGCACCGATCGGTGACGGGATCCAGACCTGCGTTCTGGTACGTTTTCTGAATCAGAGTGGCCTGCGCTATGGGGCAGGGCATTGTCATGCCGTTTGTTCGGCCATCCGAGTTGACGCCTGTTTCGCGGATGACGCTTTCAATGTGATCGCCATCTTGTATGGCTTTGTTGAGAGGCTTGAGGATTACCACCGCACAGCCTTCTCCGCGAGCATATCCATTGGCTTCCACATCCCACATTCGGGAGCGAGAATCCGAGGACAGCATGTGGAGTGACGATTCGGCCACAAACCAGTGAGGGTCGAGCAGCAGACTGGTCCCTCCCACAACCGCCTGGGATGCCTCTCCTTTTCGAAGGCTCTGGACTGCCAAATGAAGGGCGACAAGTGAACTGGAGCACGCTGTGTCGACAGTCATTGAGGGCCCACGCAAGTCGAATGCATAAGAGACACGGTTGGACAAGATGCAGCGGGATAGGCCAGTGGCTGCATGACTTCCCATGCTATCAATATCCCGGGCTTGGATCATGGCGTAGTCGTCAGTCATAACGCCAACATGGACGGATGTCTGCGATCCTTCGACTGAGCCCAGAGGCAATCCTGCTGCCTCAAACGCCTCGTAAACAGTCTCCAACAGAATACGGTGCTGTGGGTCCATGCCAGCAGCCTCTTTGGGGTTGATGCGGAAAAAGGATGCATCGAAACGCCGAATGTCTTCATTGAGTAGGTAGGGTTGCTTCCTGACATCAGTACTGCCGTGACTCTCACCGTCGGGGCTGTAGAAGTTGGATAGGTTGAGTCTATCCTCGGTGACAGGGCGTGGGATTTCTTGCGGGGCCTTGATAAGCTCCCAGAGTTTAGATGGGGAGCTTGCAGAACCTGGCAATCGACAAGCAGTTCCTATGATGGCGATGGGTTCATTCATACTAGTTTGTCGTCCCGGAAGCTCCATGGCGTGTAGTGTATGGCCTCGTGCAAGTCGAACAGTACGTAAGCAGGTGTAGGATAAAAGACCAGTTATGAGATGCCCGTCCGTTACAGAGCTCCCCTCACCCCTCTTATCTTATGTCTGCTACTGTCATGCGTAGTATGGAGGTGTGTTGATCGCGATATTGCGGGCATATCGGTTGTAGGTCCAGAATGTTAAACAAGGGGTTCATATGTTGGATGTGGCTTTGTACTAGTGGCTTAGGATATTATGATCCAGGTCGCCTGGCGTGTGAAATTACGAGGGCAATTCGGGTACACGATCGCGCACGGAATAGAACCAGAAAGGCTATTGGGGGAAGGCCAATTGGCATGGTTGTCGATCTCTCTTGCATTACCTAGCTAGGTCCGTCAGCATCAATATGAACGACACTTTGGTCTATGCACATTCATGACACTGCTTGATACTATGAATGAGTGTGGTGCTCGTCGCTGGAACAGGGTACAAGTCGGAGCTCACGATGTGGTTCATGCCAGTCGATAATTGTGCTAACCTTGTCACCAGCGACCTTCAGTTATCATCAGACTGAGACACACAACAGGGGACAAGATCAGGGCCCGCTGAACAGCGTAATCGGAAGAAGATGCAGATCTATATTTGCTACACAGATTATATTTAGTTCCCAGATCGTGTACGTCACTCAGGGTGGAACGTCCGCAAATGGATTGCCGAAGCACGAATGGTTGTTTCTCTGCACTGTTCTCAAAAGAGCAACACATTTCGGCTAACAAGCACTCCAGCGCCTAGCGCGCCGTGCTAAGGTGTCTAGCTCTAGGCGGCCCGGGCTAGCCTGCCCGCTCGGCCCGCGTAGCTCGAGTTTGCTACCAGCGCCTTCGAAGATTAGATGGACCTTCTGTGGGCTCTAGTGCCAAGCACATTCTGGCAGTCATTCAAGTGCAGCTGCTGGTTTACTTGGCCGCCCGAGTATCATAGTTATCACTGGAGATATAAATCTGAGGTACCAGTCCCCGCTCTGGAACTGATGTATCAGCATTGGAACGGACGACATCTTAATGTGTCCAGCAAACGAGGAACTTCCACTAAACTAATTAATTCAACCGACAAAGCCTGGCCCGGAAGACATTTGGGCTGCTGCAACGGCACTTGCACGTGATTCTCTCCGTTCAAGGCATTGCGCCGTTTCTACTCCACCACTATCCAAGTTGCTGGGCTGGATATCTCAGTCAGTGTTCCACAAGCAGGTTTCTTTTCTTAACCACTGAATTTTGTTCACTGAAGAAGCACTATGTACAAACTAAGGCATTTGAGTGGCTGGACCGTCAGATCGCTGCAAGAGGCCGCTGAGCGCGCTCAACAAGCGGCAGAACCCTGCTTCGCGGCCGAAAGATGAAGTCCACGAAGGTTGACGAGGAAGTCGTGGTTGCATGACTGCTTTGCATCTGGTCGGCTGAAATGATCAGTATCAAGTGAAGGCAGCTGTCTTGAGACACCGTTGTCTGGTATGTCTCAGGTAGTTCGAATGCCTGCTCATCATACGCTGCAAGTAGAAGATCGACGAGCTCACCGCAAGGTACGCCCAAGGCTGTAAATCGGGTGTCTTGCATGACAGAATACGTGCAGGATGGTTTGATCACGTAGTATTCAAAAGACGCAAGCGTTCGGCCCGTTTAACCGTCGCCGTGATCACGGTGACTGATGTCGCTAACCCAATCTCTCGCTTACATGCTGCAGTGGAACATACCCAAGGACAAGACAAGGAGTCTCTGAGTATACGTCTGGACTTTCCAAGTAAACGCCTCACAGCCTCCCTGTAAACAGGCCTCGTACTTCATGACGCAGTGACGCTCTAAACCCCATAACAAAGAGTGGAACTCTTCATGTATTGTTGGTATCGCGCAAATCAAGTTGTCTTGGGTCTTGACGCAGAAAATACTCGCCTGGATGTTATTCGCCTTGCGTTGCGACATCTCAATAGTAAACATCATTGCCGAGAAACTAATAGGTAATTATGAAATGTCGCAGAGTTTTTCAGGTGACCTGAATCAGTGATCAGCTCAGCCAAGCAGGGTACGATTCCAGGCCGTGTTGAATTGGCGAGCATCTCTTATCTTACTGACTGCATACTCCCTCAATTCTCTCAAAATCATGATGATATCGACTGGCTCAGAAGACACAGGCCGTCTTTCGTCCGGAGGTACTCGATTCGAGCTCGTCAAGGTAGTGGCATCACATCACGGTGCGATCAGAGTCATTAATCACCGGAATCAATCCTGAATTCCTATTGAACCAATGAATGTCCGTG